GCAACAACTGTCTGCCGCTTACTATAGGCATTTTGCAATATGTAATGATGCCGGTGTTGCTTTAGAAAGCATTGTGACTGGCGCTGATACAGTACAGTTGTATGTATGAATGTGTCACTGTGTTACAGAAATTTATCCATACCCTGGCACCAAAGAGGTTTAAGTTGCTTTACATTTTTAGCTTGTAAGAATTTTCCTTAGTCCAAACTCGACTCATGACGTTCTGTTTCTAAAAAACTCCATTTTGGAGCGAAGCGGAATTGAAGATTGTAAGTAAGTGCAGATTGCTCACAAGTTGAGGATGACTAAGTCGTGAATGTAAGGAAGCTTAAATGTATGGCTTGTGTGCTTCTTTTCAAAGAGAAATAAAGTGCAAACGATCATTTAAATGTGTGTGTGTTGATTACAAATGATTCTAAGCCAGTTGCTAGAGTATTAGAGATGTGATAAAGGTGGATTATTTTTTAGAATTCAAACAGGTTAACAAAACGTAGGAACTAGAGGAGTTTATAAGGCACCTCTGTAAGCTATTTGAGCGATTTTGGATTGCGTTAGACCGTAATCCAGCCCCGAGCTCTCCTCTCCCCACTGAGTTTAACCCTTGTATAGAATATTTCAGTTGTTTTGGTTTTTCTCAAGAGTAAATGTGCATCTCTTCAGCCGCCATCATGATCTACTATGCAAGGCCTGAGGACAACTATAGGATTCGCCGACTGTTGAAAATCAAAAAATAATAATAATTTAAAAGAAAACTCACATTTTGAAAACTTAAACTCCCATTTTCAAGTGAACAAACTCCTCTTTTAATTTCAGGAAACAACCTCCCATTTTCAAAAAACAAACTCCTGTTTTCATAAAACCAGCCTACCCAGAAACTGGTTTGTCCGAGTTGCGTAAAGATTTCCCAAGGGCTTCAAATCCTTAATGAGATCGCACTTCTGAAGGGGTGCGTAATAACAGTGACAAGAGTCACAACAGATAATACTTCTAAGAATTGCGCGCGATTGCAAAACGGATTGCTCAAAACATATTGTATACCAAAAGAGGATAAAGGGTACTAGAGGTAATGCCCCATGCAGACCTCAATTCCAAGGTAATCCCTCAAAAGTTTTCTCTAGACCGTACCAGGCGCGTCACGAGAATGGTTTCAAAGAGACTGAATATCAGTGCATGTAAAACTACCTGGGATGTCCGCTGTGTCAAAGGATTGGCTATATCCAGACCCTCCAGGGAATTCTGAAATCGGAAATGATCCAAAAATGTCTTAAGAGAGATTACCTAGAGAAACTATTTCGGTCATGCATCAAGCACGCGCGCTAAGGAAGAAATAAAAGCAAAAATAGGGCTTGGCACCGGGTGCGCAAACTTCACTTGCAATTTACAATTTACTCCTCTGTCTTTTTCCATGGATCACTTCCTTTACCGATTTTCTTCATGTTAACAAAAAAACTGACTGATCAAGTAATTATTCATACTGGATTTAATGACGTTACCCAAACAAGCTTTTGGCGTCTTCGACCATTCTTTACCTACACTATATGTAAAACTTAGCATGTTCTATATTAATTATAAAGAAATGGTTTCTGGAAATTCG